TTTTTTTTYCTTGTGTAGCCGCGCGTAAGAAAGCCCGCGCTTTTTTCCCTTGTGTAGCCGCGTAAGAAAGCCCGCGCTTTTTTTCCCTTGTGTAGCCGGGCGTAAATAAAMATCGCACTTTTTTGTACTTTTTGTTGGTACTAATACTAAAGCATCTAATTTGTGGTTTTAGAGTCACTTGAGGACTACAAGCCACAAAGTTGCATATCTTATATGAATGACAGAACCAAGAAAGTATTTCAATAGCTTGATTACAGCAAGTATTAGTTTTCACTTTTTTGCGGTTAAGAGATCGCTACACGACAAGCTACGCCGCATGTCATCGATGAGTTCCGTAGTTTTGCAGTCATATCAATGCCAAAGGAAATAATAATAACACAGGGGATAAACACTGTTGATATCGCTCCGGAAAACCACCTTAGCATTATAAGATAACTATATATATTAAATAACGTTTATGATGGTCGATTAAATTCAACCAGACGGATAAGGATGATCACGTGACTTGAGAGAAGTGAAAATCGTTTTTCTTGCCGTCAGATCGATTAATGAGATTGGACGTCRAGTAATTTGTGYTCTTTTCGAAGGCACTGTTGAGCATAACAAAGAAACACATCAAAGAGTCATTAAAGTAAATCACAGATTTTAAGAGAGCATATCTTTGCCTATTCGTCGACCTTTTTACCTATAGGATCTCTTGTCATGAGGATAAGACTCGCTGGTGATAACATCAGGTCTTGATTTAACGAGATTGCTATTATAAACCATTTTTTGCTGGACCAGGAAAATCCTGSTGATATTTAGAACAAGTAAGGTTTGCGACATTCCTTAAAAGAAAAATAAAATACAATTGGTATTTACATAACCCAAGTTCTTAACCAAACGTTAAATTTGATAGTCAGATTGACAACAGTTATATTATTACTAATTTCATAATTAGATAGAAAAAAGACTAAGAATTAGGGTCAATATTTATCACTGAATATTGATCCTTTTACGCAATATCTTGGTAAGTTATCCGACAGGGAAACCTCTCCATTTTGGCGCTTATACTAATGAAACCAATCCCTTTGTGGTTTTCACGAAACGCGCGCGACCGCGTGCATGCCACACCCACCATGACCGGATACCGCAGCTCAGTCCCACCTTGATTTGTGTCAGTGTAACCGTAAACAAGGTACTCAACGACGTTCTCATAGAAAGAGGAAATTGCTTCTTGATTTCAGTTGTCAAAACTTTCATCTGGGTTTATAGCAGTGAACATTGGGCGGGYACACTGCATGACAGATCGCCAGATGGACACAACGTGAACTGGATGTTTTCTGAAATAATTCCTGCATAAAAAAGAGATAATTGTTGAAGAGGTTTTATGTTTAGATTTTCTAGATCAGTAAGCGCTATGACAAATTGTTGTTCTCAACTTGATAAGCGACGTGCAGTTCAATCTGAAATATCCAAGAAATTATTTTGCAGTTGATAAGATAGAAACGTTATTYACTAGTGGAAAACATTATTATTATAATGCAGAAGAGACTCTGATCTCTAAATCTTAATATTTCTTGCTTTGATTAGCATTTTATTGCGCAGTTCTAATGTTTTGCGCTAAAATTTCCCGAGTTCYCCATCCCAGTGAACTTTCGGCCTTTTTGTCAAGCCAGTCATATTTCTTTGAATTTGTAAGAATTTATTTTCTACCGGGTCAGTCAAAAATTACTGTATGGCATTTACAAATGTATCAAATATAACAGACAGCTATCAAAATGAAGACTTGGGCGTGGAATACTGAAAGAAATCTATGCAATGACCCGGAAATAAAGAGTTACACTTTCCTTCCTTCCAGACGGGTTTGCGCATACCTTGCGTCAATCAGGAAAGAAACCGCTACGTCTATCCGGACTCACACTGATTTTGGAAACAGAACTTGATCTAAATTACTTTTTTAAGTGYCTCCATTTTAGCAGGAATTACGCATGATATGGGAGTAGAGTTTCGCATCTAATTTTGTAATACTTTTTGTCACGTTTAATTTTCTCTTGCAAAATTATATTTACCTAAATGAGAGAAAATCCGACATTTTTGTTCCGGTCAGTYTTTCTAATGTAGCCGTGTTTACAACATGCATATATTTTTATTWAAAAAAATCTTTATTACACCAGTAATTCAATCAACTAAAATGAAATGAAAGTTGGGCAGTTTGAGCAGTTCTTTATCAGAATTCGCTAAAATATCTTGGTTTGACCCCACTGAAACGCTGCAATCTCGCTCCATTAGCATTTGATTGCCATATCATCTTGCTTCAACTGAAAGGTCGATTTTTAGTTGGTAAACATTTCGTCTCACTTTTAAWGCTAGGCGTCTTCTGGTCTGAAGTYTCACTAGTTGTTAAGCGAGTTATGCTCACAAATAGAAGAGGRACAATTTATGGGTCAAGACCGTACAAGTACCTTGCGAAATCGAGGGAAGAAAAGTGGTCAAAATTCAAAATGTGTTTTGAACTTATCACAGCATTATTTATTTAAAAAAGGAATTAAGGAATTGTTGTACTTTGAACCTTCCTTAAAGCACTTTAAGATGAAGATAAATATATGGCGAAAAGCTCCTGAACAAGTTTTACAGGATAGCCGGTATTGTTTGAGTTGAATAGTACAGTTATAGTTCGTTCAGTGTAGATACCTTGAAACTTTTMATCATTCGATGTTCTGCGATATTAGAATGGTCTTCGTATTACTGCAAAAATGCTAAAGAACTGAGAAAGTCAATTTAATCAAATTTTTATACACACTGTGTTACAAAAAGAATTTTAAAGTCATGCTTTTCAGCGTTCTGCACATGATTTCCACAAACAAGCTTTCTAAATCAATCTCTTCCTTATAAATTTTAAATTTTAGAAGTTAAGTATGTTTTTAAGACTGTTAATTAATATTATTCCAATTGGACAACTGTTTGGGAACCATGTTTTCGTCTTATGGTATRTGTATCATGTGCGATACAAGCATTTATTGAGTCAAAACATCTCAACGTTAGATTTTGGAAAAATATGCTCTGAAACAACAAAATAATATTAGATATGAATAAAAGCCAGTGTACATTGTGCTAAACTAAAAAATCATTTCAAATGTCTTAATTAATRATGTCCCTTCATAGTGTTGAAAACCTTTATTAAAATGTTTTACAAAATCTTACGTAACTAAATAATGTTTATTCAAAAGCCCAGTGCCACTTTTAGAAGTATCTTTATCTTGAGCCCTTCGTATTACCGAAAAAGAACGCTAAAACTGAAATATGAGTTTCATTTGCCAGCTGTTGACTACTTTGTATTTATCTTAGTGTTCAGAATCTAAACTCAGCATAATTTGGATCCAGTGATAACAAGAGCAAAGGGACTATCCCTTATGTCAGGGTTCTTCCCTTCATTGCAAAACGTTCCTGACAGGAAATATGTCATAACTTGTCGGTATATCATTTTAGAATTGGCACTTCTGCATAGTAAGATGATTTCCCAGATATGGAGAACTCGAGGGCTTCGATCGGACATAAAGGCCAAGGTTTGCTGTGTTGATTTAAAAGTCAAGAAGCAAATACGAAAATTCGAGAACAAGAATCCTACCWAAAGATTACATAGAATGACTGACAGCCCGGGATTAAAAACGTTTTAATCTTCGGTATATGTTTGTCGACTTTTGTGTTTGTAATTAATAAAAACTTGAAAACATGGACGCAGTTGACTGAATTTCGGAAGAAAAATATCTTAGCATGTTTGCTTAGGGCAAAATGAGTGTGGAACGTCACTTCGCATGTCAAGAAGTAAAATTAAAAGTGCGAAGTTGAGCGCAAACTGCGGTTGTGATGCCAGTAGCTGCAGCAATCACCAGTAGATACAAAACCTTTTYAAAGAAAAAATATATATTAACATCATTATCGCAAACATTCGCCGTAAATATAATATGTTTTTTGAATATTTTTTGAACCATAAAATCTGACAAGCAAGATATTTCACTGTGTCAACATTGAGGTCACGTTTAGTTTGTCATCAGTGTGGTTGTTAAGGTGGACCACTGCAGATCGAACATACTCAACGTAATCGGGCAGYAATTTTCACGAGCTGAAGAAAAGCTACGGTTTACGACCGAGACGAGCGGCGACACTCTAATCGGATTTCATGTGACCAATGGATACAAGATAATATTCCCCCTCTTTAGGTATCACTGCCACACGCGCGTACTCGAAGACGTCAGTACAAGCACTCGCAGAACGGAAACCCTATTTTGATTCTTTTTATCGTGATAACATCGGTCATTTGTGGCTGAATAAAATTTCTTTGCAATCGGAGTAAATTATTACCTGCCGCAAAACACTAGASGCGCAAAGCAGCGAGACTAGGAAACATTTTTGAGCTGTGCGATTAGAAAAATCGGGTGTTCATTTGACGAATTAGCCTCTCGAACTCTGCAATTTGATATGSCCTGGAGTCTCTCGCCAGCGAGGCTCCGAGCTCCTCATAAATGCCATTCTCGTTTATCTTGTGACAGATCTTGTCCAAATAGTCGACGGTGATTGGTTGATAGCGATAGGTACACGTGATCAAAGCCCTGTCACACGTGTTGTGCTACATACATATTTGACTCGATGTTTCGTTTGGTAAGAATAATTTTTTTCTGACCCGAGCGAGAACACAACACTACAAGCATTGGACGTTCACTCATGGACAACACAGAAAACATCCCGCTCATGGACAGAAGGATAGTGCGTGGTAAGAAACTATCTCACCTTCCACCAATTTCTGTTCCATCACCTGATAGTTTTCCCCAAGAGCACAAGCAAACCATGAACTATACAAAGTGGCTTGGTGGGCTTGCTGTTACCGGTTCTGTGAGTCCAAAGAAGGATGACAAGTTTTTAGATTCTGAAAGAATTAAACGTCCAATGAATGCATTTATGGTGTGGTCACAACTTGAACGGAGAAGACTGGCTGATGCGAACCCAGAGCTTCATAACGCCGAGTTGAGCAAAATCCTGGGACAGACCTGGCGCGGATTGAATGATGTACAAAAACGACCTTACGTCGAAGAAGCAGAAAGACTWCGTTTGCAACAYATGCAGGACTATCCTGACTACAAATACAGACCCCGTCGAAGAAAGCATCCTAAAAGAGTTTGCAAGAGAATGATGTCAAGYTCTTCAACTCTCCAAATCAATGTGCCACGAGCTTCATCGTCTGCTGTCGACAAGCAATCCGCTCAGTTATCCGAAGAATCGCACCCTTTCTCCATTCCAAGCACCCCTACAAGTCCATCAATTTCTAGCAGCCCAAGTCTGGCAAGTCAGCAAGCATTGTTAGTCAATGAGCTTCAGACATTGAGTAATCAAGTGCACAACGCACCAATTCCTGACCTTCCAACACCAGAGAGTAGTCCAGTCGCTGGTCTTGAATCTGGAAAAGTGTTCAATTTCCCCAGCACCGAGGATGAGCTCCGGTTCCTTCTCCTGTCTATGCTCCAGAAATCCAACGAACCAATGACCAAATCAAAATTTCAGCAGCTCGTGAATATGAATATAAATTCAATATTTGGAAATTCTGCTGTTTGCAACGAGTACAGTCCTCCAAGTCCAGTCAATGTAGAAACATCGAGTTGCAGGGCATCTGTCATGCTTCAACCGTCTTCTCAAACTATGCATTTCTCAGATCTGCTTCTAGATGACCTGAACAGGGATGAATTTGATCAGTACTTACATGGGACTGAACTCGACGCTTGTAGCCTCGAGGAATGTGAACTGTAAGMCAAAGAAAGATTTTTATATATTCTTACAGACAATTTGATGTACAATAGTTGATAAACTAAATATATTTCTTATTGGCTATTTAGTCCTTCATATTGAAGGACGAATGGACATATTTTTGGAACTGGATTGTTTGTAAAGAGGATTTCATTCGAGTTATTTAGGGCTTATTAAGCCAAGGGTTTTGTAGATTTTTATGATGCATGTCGCAAACATAGAGTATTTTTTTCTATTTTAATAGCTATTCGCTTAATTTATCGAAGGGATATCGACATAATTTATGCCACTGCAAAGAAAATATATGTACATTTTACAGCAGGGTACTCATTAAACTCTTTCTTTTTTGACACTATCGTGTTATTGTCAAGTTAGCTGACGTAAAAATCTGTGTTTCTGATTAAGATGTCCTTGAACTCAAAAGATCATCGTATCTCCGTTGCCAGAATCGCCATGTCGTTCGCCAAGTCATTGGTCGTTCGTCTTGCATGGTTATCCACGTTGTCATCACATGTCAATTTATGAAGGTTGTAAGTTGAAATGGAAACGTAAACTGTATTTTTAGACCCATGGCAGCTTATTACACGCATTTATCACTCGCCCTGAAAACCTGAATTCAGACTCTCTGCGGGATCGCTTGGATCTCGCCAAGCACTGCGGCAAGTTGTAGCTGTATYTAAGATTGTGCGCTGTTGCCATGTGTTGTCCATTTGCACTTTTGCCAAGGTTGGAGTGATCAAAAATTATTAATCCGTTTTTCTGCTGGTTTTGTTTATCTTGACTTTTTGATTGACATTTGACAAGTTGAGTTGACAATCCAAAGCAAATAAATCTACCATCAAAGCCCCTTTTTGTCCTTCTTTCATGGCTTTGTAATCCCAAGAAAGAAGCTGTTTAAACATTGGATCGAACGATCTTAATACACTCGCTCGTTGGCTCTTGTGCGCTGTTATCCTCCACTCATCTACACCGGAAGCGAATCTTGTTCGAACATTAGAGAAGACAAAGGAACACTGATTAGCACTAATTAATGCTTCACACGACCGGCGTATAGAGTCACTCTCGATGTCAAGGGAAACGCTTCGCACTTATAAAGATCTTCCCGTCTGGGAAGTCATTCAAGCTCATGATCTTAGAAATGAAGTCGTGTTTTTTGTTGTACAATTCTACGTTCTTGAGAGCAATTTATTTGTAAGATAATCTGTTTGTAATTACTACCAGCCCAAGTCCTAACATTACCATATGCTGACTCTAAATTGATCCTGGGGGCATCATGAAGTATTTTGAAAGCGTTCCAAATACCTGAGGAATTATTTAAAGTCTTCGTAGTTTTTTGCATTAAACTTTTTCAYAGCATCAAAAAATTGYWTATGGTCTCGGAAAACYAGATCTGCAGTTCTGAATCTCCGACACTTTTAGCAAAACTAGTGTTGTATACTTATACAGGCGGCTGTTAATCTATSATGCATCTATATTAAGTGACATTAACCATGAATCTACAGATGGATAGCACAATTCTACTGACATAACGCGGTTTTCATCAACTCTTGAAATAAAAGAGTAACAGTCAATTTGAACAAAGTGCCTAATACACCAAAAAGGCTATGAAAAACAAGCAAAATAACGAGTAATATATTGTAGTACGCTAAAGTGTATTCCATGGATTTAGAAAAACCAATACAACAGGAGACTGATGAAATTGACCCTTCACTTAAAAAACGATGTTTGGTCTATGCAGAATCCGCAATCATTGAGTACATAGATTAACCAGATTATCTTTTTTCTAGTGCTCAATGGTCCTCGATCCGGCCAAACAAGTACGGATCCATTGATTGATAAAACCAGTAACAATGTACTGAAGGCCAGTGAGTTTTAGCTTAAAAACTGGAAAATCGAATAAATGAGTGGGAAGAACATGCAGTCGCCTTACAAAWTTTTTTCTTTCATTTACTGACGTTAGTCATTATTCKAATAAAACAAGTTTTGCAATTTAGTGTAATTTTATAATTGCACAATTATTACATTGCGACGCAAAAATTCTGCAATATCAACAACACCTATATTTGTAGTGTAGTGTAGTTTARCCTCTTTTGGTATGTAATTATTGTAGCTGCTTATTAATAATAAATATTAATTTAAAAATAATAATAAAAAAAACCCAACAACAACACCTATATTTGTTCAGTGGCTACTAGAAATACTTTGAACTAAACATCGCAAATAAAAGGCTGATATTTCGGCAGATTCAGATACCAGTTGGGTCGATTAATAACAAATTATCTTCATTTCAAAAAGCTACCACTTTGTTGTCTTTGTTTTACGAATTTTTAGATTCCTGACTTATTGCGCAAAAATAATCATAAAAGCTTGCTGTCTGGAATTATCTATTTGGCCCTTTCTCGTGCATGCTCATGGCTTAAAAAGTCATATTTCGATAAAAGTCGGAGCTGATCGGGTATTAAAACAGCATGTCGTAATCCAAGTTCTCGTACATGCGAATTACATCACGTTTTTTCCCTTTTAACTTGTGCAATGAAAATGAATATAAATTAAGCAATGCTTCCCTGCATTGAGCATCTTTTAACACTCATTTCCTCAAATAAATCAATGACATTTCAGTTTCGCCTAGCCGGGCCAATATCATCGAAGTCTATCAACGTCATGCCAGGAATTCTGTAATTAGTCCTGCATGCCTCTCGCATGACCTGAATTGGTTGCATTCATTCTCTGCAATCCAGCCATRTTGAGTTCGTTGACATACATTTTTTGTGTGTTTTGACCGCCAATAAATGTTAAGGCCTTTTAAAGAGAAAATTTCGAAACGGATTTTTTTACATCRTTCTTGTTGTAGTAAAAGAAAARACTTAGAGAAAAATAACCRATTTGAGCGATTTGAGTGCAGTGAAAGCGTAGTATACCCTTACTATCCTTATCTTAACACCTCCCTATGAATTTAGGTCCTCCCTTGTTACATCCCTAGCCCCGCCCCCTGAGAACTAGTACCCTACTCAGAGTGGGGTAGAGATTTAGTATTATATTATCCTCGGGAACTTAGAACCCATAATCTTCTGTCGTGGAACGAGCGACGGAATGTTACTCCTGCATTCCCGAGGAGCCATCACATCCACAGTTAATCCAGACTCGGTGGAGACCCTTCTCTTGTGGTTCTATTAACGTCATAAATGCCAAGCACACAATGTTGAAATTCATCTGTCATTGACAGCCTTACATTATATGATATGTACGGTTTGAAGGTCAYTGACAGTCATTCCTGGATTCACCATTCAAGGTCAAGTGTGATTCCAATCACACTGGTAGCTGTCATGGTTTGTAAATATCTGTCGTTAGATGTCTTAATATAGCAATTAGGTAATAGCAAAGTGGTTAAAAAGATAAGAAAAACAAATACAGAACCAACATTTTTATCTGATCAATTTGTGCATTGCGTTTTGCTTACTCACACTCCATGAAAGCACTGCAAAATGATTTTGTTCAACAAAAGGCCTCCTAGAATCTTTGACTGAGGCTAGCGCCATCTTGAATTTTCCGACATCCTCCCCATGTGTTTTATAATTACTTCGTTCTTCTGCTGACAGAGCACTCGCGCGCAAGCCCGGAAAGATAGCAAAAAACGATAACGATAAGAAATTCAAGATAAAGCTGTTTATCGAAAGTTTTTTTTATAAATAAACCTTGAAAGAAAAAAGAATCATAAAGTCTTCTTGCTTCCGGCTTGTTTTGAGTGGAGAAAAGTTCTATTGAATACAAACACTTTGAATTATCTGGTTTGAAACTCAAAACAAACAAACAAAAAGGAGCAAACCCTTAAACAAATTGTACAATACAAAATATAAACAACACTTCTCACAAACATAATACTAGCACTAATTTTGTTTAACACTCRTAAAGCGTTTCACGGGTTTAGTGCAAACACCTCAGTCTGTGCAAAAACATGCAAAACCGATTGACTTTAAGGTATAAGATCAACACTGCCCGTCTGTTCACGGTTACGTACGCACGTACGTGCAATCGTGCATGCCTGAGATACACCGGTTGTGTATACTTTATAATTTTTTCTGATTTTTAAAGCTGCCTATCAAGACTGGTTGSCTGCACGATCCAGACTGTGCAAAATGGAAAAGTTATCAAGGTCAAGGTCATGAAAGGAGTTTAGCAAACCAAAGCTGCTATAAACATCAGATATTCTATGCATGACTTGTGAAATGGTAGAAATATTTTCCGTGATACGTGATTGAATCAGTGCACGGACATTAATACTATTAATGGATTATAAATATATCACATCCTTCTGAAAAAAAACCCCGAATATTAAGATTTTAGGAAACGCATATAACCCCAAGACACAAGAGCATCCAGACCTAAAATGAAGGTGTCAGCGATTCCCACTGAAATGCTTAATTTCAATATGTTTTTGGCATCTGTGAGTTTTAAAAGCGCTATAATTGGAGAAGATTTTAATTATTGAAGTAACAGTACATCTTAAGTAGAATGCCATTAAAAGGAAACGGACTTGAAAAAGCGTGAAGTGCCAACGTGGCAATTCTCATGCAACTCTCAGTCACATGACACTCCCAGAACTATCAAGAAAACCCAAGCTTGGATTCCTGCAAAAATGTTTTTAGGGTTATATTGAAGGATGTCAAGATGCTATGCAAACGTAGAAATAAGGACCAACAAACACAGTTTCGAATCAGTATCAATGCCGAAAACAGAAACCATCGCCATTCTTCCAAATTGTTCCGTGTTTGTGTTTCAAACACCATAAAAAAGTCTTGCCATGSARCATTTTAGTCTACACACYCTTACTAAATACATCAAGAGATTAGGAAGGATTATCCGAATTATTATTATTTTTTCCAGAGCTGACACATTTGGTTTGGACCTGATGTCGAGAAGGGCTGACATTCCGCCCGTTCGATCAGTACCAATGYGGTTTTGTTTTTACAAGTCTCGCAAAGTAATGAGGGTTGATCACACAGTAGTGACAATCGGTAGCATGTCGAGTTAATCTTCATCGAGAATTATCAAGGAAATGCTGGAAACGGAGTGCAAACTTGACATTGATTTCATGTGATTTGTACTTGATTATTTTTGGTAAGGAATGACAATATAATTTGGTAAGAATACGTCTTCTTCTTGCCCAAACATATCTTAGATACCGATGTATAACTGTTTGCCAGTGTGACTACAAAGTCACGACTCACTTGGTACATTTATTGAGTAAAACACTAGCTTAAAGAGAAACTATAGACCACACTGGTTCCGACCCGGAAAGGAATTTAGAACTTCAAAAATGTTTGATCATTTACTTTATGCAATTAGCAAATGTCAAATAGTTCAGCTCAATAAAAGACTTTTGACTTGCAACCATCAGAGAGGTTGTCATAGATTAGGAAATAAAGAGCAGCTAATTCARAGTGATGCTGTTTTGTTGAAAGCTTCTCCAGGGTCACGTGAGATCCCCTGCTTCGCTTCACGGTGTGAGCCGAGCAGAAAGACCATTTCGAGACTGCATGGTCTTGATTTTATCGTAAAAAAAAAAGAACGCAAATATCAAAACCAGAGCACAACAAACAAAAGAGAGAAATAAATCAAAGGGGATGMATTTTCTGGGTTTAAAACTATAGCAAAGTTTATAAAAATCCTTTCAACATCTCATCAGACATCATGCTATCTGAACTGAGACAGCACATGGAGTCATTGTGGGTCTTTTTGAATTTTCCCAAGGCTAATTAAACCTTGTGGGGTTTAGCCAGATGAATCAAATCAAATCACGACTTGAGATAAGCCACACTGGAAGATAAATCCATGAAGATAAATCTCCCCTGGCGATGAAGTGGGAAAATATTCACATGGATATTTAAGCTACACCTGGGCCAATCATGYCAGCGATCTCCAGCTTAGTWGGTTYATTTGTCATTATCTAGAGACCCAAKAAAGATTGTCTTACTAATTATRCCCACACCAGGCCAACGGAGGGTGTATTGAAAAATTTAAATGGTATCTGGATACACTGATCTGAGTTAGTCCCCTCTACTAACTCTGCACTAATGTCGAACTGGCGTCTTTCCACTGATGCATTGCGCGCTAGAGAGACGAGTCAGGGCCTACAATAGGTGTACGTTAGTGCTTAGTGATCGGATAAAGTTTGAAGRTGCTATGTGRRTGTATCGAAAGCTATCATGGTGAGCCTTTCCYAGCGTTATAATAATGGRTTCAGTTTTAAAATACAATCTAGTCGTTTTAATCAATTCCTTATTTCTAAATATTTGGTTTTTCAATTTTTGACTCACCTTTTATTTACTCTGTTTAAGATAAGCTTACATTTGTACATGAAGATATTTTTGTCATAGKTTTTTTGATTATAGTAAATTGAGTTTTTAAATTGAGCAAATAAGCACAATTGAGCGAAGCGCTGAACAGCTTGCTCTTCATCCAGAACCTTTGATTTAATCCGGTTCTTCATATCTGTAGATATACTTTGCTATTAACCATTGTTTGATTCATAAACTTAGCTGTCAGTCATGAGATGTCTTTCGGTCGAGGTGGACGATCAAGGTTTTGTTTCACCTGCTCAACAATCCAGCGAATTCCAGATTCAATGCCATCTCTAAGAGCAAATGCACAAAAATCACAAAGAATTAATCAATGCAAGGTTACACAAAAATCCGGCTTTTTTCCATTTTCTCTATTTTTTACAAATGTAGTGGAGTATATTTTGAAAGTTATTATGCTCAAATAACGTACTCACCCATTTAGTGCAGATGTTGGCTGTAWCAAATAATCTTTTTGGTCCTCAACRGTAGACTCAGGATGGAAAATTGACTGGATTTTATCRGCGGAAAGGGATTCCTGGATGATTGAAACATACAAATAGTTTGACAACAAATTTATTATTTTTTGGAGGGGTGATGAAATTTATAATTTACTTGAGTAGTATATT